AAAAAGTCATGAAAAAAATAAAGTGAAAAATAGTATGTTTCAATCTACATTTGGACTCCATTAGTTCTTTCTCTGGATATGGATAGCATTTTTCATCATAAGTCCTTTCGAATTGTCTTAGATCATTGTATTGCTTTTGCTATAAATATTTTTGAATAAACAGGTCCTTTTTCCTTTTTAAAAATCTCTTTGGAATACAGACCTAGTAGTGGTATTGCTGGATCAAAGGGTATGCACACTTTTATAACCCTTTGAGTATAGTTCCAAATTGCTCTCCAGAATGGCTAGATCAGTTCACAACTCCACCAACAGTGCATTAGTGCCCCAATTTTCCCACATCCTCTCCAACACTTATCATTTTCCTTTTCTGTTATATTAGTCAATCTGATAGGTATGAGGTAGTACTTCAGAGTTGTTTTAATTTGCATTTCTCTAATCAACAGTGATTTAGAGCATTTTTTTCATATGATTATAGGTAGCTTTGATTTCTTTGTCTAAAAGCTGTCTGTTCATATTTTTGGACCATTTATCAATTGGGGAATGGCTTGTATTCTTAAAAATCAAAGAAAATATCTAAAACAGATTAGAAGTATGGCTACAACAGTACAGACTTCACATTAAGAAGAGCATATTTTTAAGGAATCTTTGAAAAATAATAATTAACATTTACGTGGTACTATAACATTTACAAAGCACATTTAAGATAAATTATCTTTGTAGTAGGTCCCTTTCATCTCTCCCTCTTCCTTATCCCCTCTTCACCCCATATAGAGATATTCTTTGACTGCTTCTGGTGGACTGTGTGGAAGTTTGGGGGATGCCAGCCATTTTTGATTCATCAATGAGTCCCCAACTTGGTTGTTGATTCAGAAGAGTTAATTGAAGACAGTCTCTGGTGGGTGGTCCCCTTAGCTGCTGCTTTCGACATGACACAATGTGTTTCCAGTGAGGGGTGGAGAACAGTCCTTTTTTTTTTTATCTATCCCATCATAAACATGATCCTACTGCTATTCTCCACATGGAATATATGTGTGTGTGTGTGTGTGTGTGTACACATATGTATATGTATATATATAAAATCAAGTAGGCATTTACCAATAAGCTGCTTTTATTTCTCTTATGTTTCCTTTCCTTTAGTAAGTGATCTTGTGAGTTTTGAAAGGTCTGGAGGTCTGAAAGTGTTGGCAGCAGTGTCTACAGGAATGGTTGAAGTTGCAGTAATTTTTGGACTAGGTTGGTAGCAAGGGAAGCATCTGCATTGAAGAGGGGCCATTGCCAGGAAAGGGGATGGGCTTGGCTCGTTTTGCTAGTGAACTTGTCCCAGGAGTTGGTTAGACTATACCCAGAGGAGATGAAATGTAAGATGTCTAACTTTGCCAAAATCACTTTACGTCAAGCTTGAATAGCATGCTCTCAGGAAATTGTACCAGCAGTTATGCCAAATTACTGAACTCTGTTCTAATCATTCTGTCAATGCACAGTGTGATTCTTTTGTGCTTCTATGACTTTTTATGTAGGAATAAAAAGCTGATTCATTGTGCATTGGGAAGACCAAGCCATGAGCAATACAGCATTGTCTCTAGGATTTCAGGGTGGAAGATTGTTATTTTTAACTTCAATTTTATTTTCACTTCCAAATTCTCTTCCTCTACCCATTGAGAAGGAAAGAAAAACAAAATCCATTACAAACATGTATAGTCATAAAATATGACAGCTCTGGTCCATTTCCCCACCCCCAACCCCTGTGGGATTATACTCAACTTTTCAGTGTACATTTTTGTTTACTGTAAGCCACATCTTTTGCCTTTTGGAATATTGTATTTCAAGATCTCTTGTTTATATTAGAGGCTGTCAAGGGATCCCAGATATACTTGTTAGTTACTTGAACTACTTTCTGGATGTCTATGGTACTTTTTCTTTGACACAGGACTCTGGACTTTGGCTCTGGCTTTCCTTTTGGGGTTTCTCTTAGGAGGTGATTGGTAGTTCTATCTTTACTGTGTCCTCTGATTACAATAGCTCTGGGAAATTTTTATTTATGATTTCTTGAAATACAGTGGCCAGGCTTTAAAAAAACACCAAAGAATTGTTTTAAAGAAGTTTAATGATTCTTAAATGATTAGCTGAGCAAGTCACTTAACTTGTTTGCCCCAGTTTCCTCAACTGTAAAATGGAGAGAATAATAGCACTTATCTCACAGGGTTGTTGAGGATAAAATGAAATACCATTTAAAAAAATTCTCAGCCTGACACATTGTAGTTCTTATATAAATGTTTATTCCTCTCCTCTCCTCTCCTCTCCTCTCCTCTCCTCTCCTTCCTCTCCTCTTCTTTCCCTTCCTTTCCTTTCCCAGACCATTTGATGAAATTAAGAAAGGGCAGGTAACAGGGATAATGGTATGTTAAGGTTTTGACCCTTTTAGACTTTGTTCACATGCTTCTTCCTGTAGACACAATGTATATTTGTAGAAGAGTGTACTCCAGGTTTATGGGGAGAAATATTTGGTTACTACTGCCTATACTAAGCCATTTCAATAAATTTCTTTGCTTTGAGCTAATTGTGTCAACTAGCTGACACAATTAATCGTGAATGCACTGGTAGGGGATCACGCACTATAATTCTAGGAATTCAGATGTACACTTTGGAATGTGGGGTAGTCACCTCCCTGGGGACCCAACCTTTGAGTGTGAGTTAGGCAGGTGCTATACTAATCCTGGTGGTACTTATCCACTAGACACCAAATCATTCTCCTTTAATTGTCAAGAAGAGCAGTGCCTATGTCACAGTCTTCCTCTCTGTTTCAAACCCTGTCCTTAAACTGAGAACTTTTATATGTTTATATGTATGTGTGTGTGTATATATATATGTTGATGTGCCTTTAAATACCCTGGCCATTCAGTTCATCAACTTCCTCAACTCCCATGACATATCTACATGCCACCTCAGCCACAATAAATAGGATGATCACACCCTTGAACTCATAAACACCAACCTGTATTTTAACTTTGATGAGAAAGACTTATGAAATTCTTTTGTCTGACCACAATCTATCATCCCATCTCTTCCAATGTTTCACTCCTCCTAAATCTGTGCTTACCTTTTCTGTGACTTTCATTCAGTTCCTCCATCCCTCCGTGTTTTCCCAGACCATCACTCTTATTCAGGATTCACCTTCTTTCCTTCTAGAAACATAGATTTAAATCTATACGAGCCCTTAGAGGCCCTGATACCAACTCTCTCACAAAGAGGTTAAATGACTTGTGCCCATGGTCACACAGGTGGTAAGTGAACCCAGGGCTTCCTGGCTCCAAGCACAACACCATGCTGTCTGTCTTGATACTATAAGAGGTAATGAATTCATCTTTATACTGTTTTCTACTCTGTAATCTCTCTCCTTCCTTGTTCTACTGCCCAACAATGACCTAGATTACTCCTACCATTTCCTTCTTCAATTTCTACTCATATTGTGAAGTGTTCAAGGAAGTCACACCAACCATGCTGAGTTCTCCGCAAATTTGTTATCTAATCTCAGTGGGCCCTCATATCCAAAAGGTAATCCTTTCCCCAAATCCCTGACTTGTCAGTCCACAGAGGCGGTTCCAAATCTTTTCTGTCAGAAGACCTCACCTTATTCTTTATTGAAAAACATGATGCCATTTACCATTAGCTCCCTTTTCTCCCCTAATCTACACCTCACAACTCATCATCATGCTTCATTTTCTTCTCCTTTACTCTGATGAAGTGACTTTTCTTTTCAACACTCTACTTGTACCCTCAGTCTTATCTTCTCTGTCTCCTCTGGAAGACTGCTCCCTTGATCATACCCTCTAATTTTCTATCTCTGACCTACTGGCTCTTTCTTAGCTGCCAACCAACAAGTCAGATTTCTCCTACTTTTTTTTTTTAAAGGAAGGAAAGAAACTCTTCACTTAACCCAATCATCTCTTCAAAGTTCTTCCTTTGTCTCCCCTTCTTTTCACAGCCAAACTCCTGCAAGATGCTGTTGGCACTCTTCTCCTCCACTTTATCTCATCCCATACCTCAGCCTTTTGCAATCTGGCCTCCAATTTCAAGCCTCAACTGAAAGTAATTTCTCCAAAGTTATCAGCGATTGCTTAATACCCAATTCTGATGGACTTTCACAATCCTCATCCTCTTTGCCTCTCTGCAGCCTTTGATACTGACCACCCTCTCCTTCTGAACACTCTCTTCTTTAGGTTCTCATGACACTGCTTTCTCTTGGTTCTCCTCCCATTGGCTTGCTTTCTCCTTCGCAGTGCTCCTTTGCATAGATTATGATCCTAGTTCGGCTCATTGAATGGTTTGAGTCCTAGCCATTCTCATGTACAAAGGCCTCTGGGGCTTATCAAACACAAGTCTTTAGGATTAAACACATAAAAAGAGACAAGTCTTTGCTACAGTAAGATGCAATTGCAATTTGGAATGTTGCCCATTTTGCTTCTGATGGGTCCACAGACTCAAAAAAACTGCATCTGAAAGGACATTACTGGCCCTGCTAGCTATGCGACTCTGGACTTTCATAGTCTTTTTGAACTCCAGTTTCCTCCTGTGTAAAATGACAGGGTGAATGATCTCTAAGGTTCCTCCCAGCTCTAGAGCTTATCAGCCACAACTGGGGCACGCATACCTTTTGGTTCTCCCGCGCACCCAGAAAGGGTGGCATGCTGGCGCCCTCCCGCCCCCGCCTCCATCACGTTTCCCTACCTTAGGAAGTGTACTAATTCTCTGGAATGTTTAGATCTAGGGTGAGTCTAGGAGAGTCCACGACTGCTGGGCTGGCACGGTGTGGAGGATGTTATTACTTGAAAAAACCGGCGGAGCTGCCTCGGTTCTCAAGAATAAGTCCGGTGGAGCCAGAGCGCCTTAGGCCCCGCCCCCGCAGAGGGCGCCTCACTGTTGCCTAGCAACCCCTGGACACGACCGGAAGCAGTTTTTCTCCTAGTTCCTCCTCTTCTTCAATCGTCTCCGCCTCAGACTCTTCTCCCGCCCCTGCCGGAAGTGAACGTTCACTTCCGGCGGGGGACCCTCGGGCCGGGAGTACGGGCTCCGGACGGGCCGGTGACGAGATGACCACGCTCCGGGCTTTCACCTGTGACGACCTGTTCCGTTTCAACAACATGTGAGTGAGGCGCAGGAACGAGGGCGGCATGCGAGGCTCTTCCCCTCGCGGATCTCTCTGTCTTCCGTCCCGGGCGAGAGCCGGAGCCGGGGCGAACCCCTTCCCATCCTGCTCTGAACCAGGGGAAGGCAGGTGTCCTTGCGCTGGTTTCGCACATAGAGAAACTGAGGCACTGGGCGGGATCGGTATATCAGCCTTGGCCCCCTCGTAGTAATGTAAGGGGTGGGGAGCTCTGCCAGAGGGAACGGACGTGCCTAGCGGTGGGTCGGGTGGTTGGGGATGGTCCTGAACCACCAGGGTCCTGAGAGAAGCCCATGGCCATTCTCCTTGGCCTGGAGAGACGCGGTTCTTGAGGAGGTCCGGAAGCACATCACCAGAATTATTCATGGTAACACCAGGGTGAGGTAAAGCAGTGATGCAATGCCCCACTTTTAATAGTTTAATAATGGTAGACATTGATTGAAGCATCTACTGTGTGCCAGGCGCTGTGCTAAGGGCTGTGTGCAAAGAAAGGCGGAAGAGAGTCCTTGCCCTCGATGAGTTCACAATCTAACGGGAGAGAGACAACCTGAAAATAGCGATGTGCCAACAAACTGTACAGGGTACATAGGAAATAATCAACAGAGGCTCAGGAAAAGCTTGTGTACGGAAGGTGAGATTTTAAATGGTACTTAAGAGAAGCCAGGGAAGTGAGGAGGCAGATGGACGAGGGACAGCCAGTGAATATGCCCCGAGTTGGAAGTGTCTTGTGCTAGCATTGGCTCGAGGGATTAGGAAGGTATAAGAAAGCTGGAAAGGTAGAAAGGGCTTTAAAAGCCAAACAGGATTTTATACTTGATCTTGGAGGCGCTAAGAAGTTTATTAAATGGGGGAGTGATGTCAAATCTGAGCTTTAGGAAAATTCCTTTGACAGCCGAGTGGAGGATGGACTAGAATGGGGAGAAAGTTGTGGCAGGGAGACCAACCAGCAGGCTGTTGGAATGGTCCAATTATAAGGTGATGAGGACCTGAACCAGGATGGTGGCAGTGTCAGAGGACAGAAGTGGGGCTAAGTTGATAGATGTTCTGAAGGCAAAATTGATAGGACTTGGCAACAGATTAGATATGGGGAATGAGTCAAGGATGACCACTTACATTTCGATAGCACTTTAAGACTTAGAAAGGGCTTTACTTTCTTCTACTCTATATGTATTTTGATGACCCTAATGATTTGCATGTTTCCGTTACTAGAATTTAAGAGTCTTGAAGGAAATTGTCTTTTTTCTTTTATACCCAGCACTTAGAACAGTGCCTAAGACATAGTAAGTGATTAATAGATGGTTGTTGATTGAATCCCCACAATGGCCAGTAAGGTAGGAGAAATAAGTATTACTATTTCAGTTTTACAGATGAGTAGTAAAGTGATATATGATCACAGGGACATTTTAAGAGGATTAATTTTTCAGCAACGTTTAGAATGTGTTAAAGGGAAAAGAAATTAGAGGGGAAAAATTTATTAGAAAACATATTATCATGTGAAATAATGGCATGTACCAGGGTGGTAGTGAGAATGAACAGGAAATAATGGATTCAGTAGATAGTAATGAGGAAGAATCAATAGAACTTTGTGACTGATTACAAATGGAGGGACAGAAAGGGGGAACTGAAAAATTACTTCAAAAAACTTTGAATGATGGGAGAATGATAAAAATTGGGAAGTGAGAAAGAGGGTTTGGAAGAAAATCTAGGGTCACTTTGGGGGGGGGGTGAGGCAATTGGGGTTAAGTGATCTGCCCAGGGTCACACAGTTAGTGTCAAAATGTTTTGTCTGAGGGGGGATTTGAAATCAGGTCTTCCTGACTTCAGGGCTGGTGCTCTATCCACTGTGCCACCTAGCTGCCCGTAAGTTCACTTTTAAAAAACAGAAATCAAGGTGATGTATAACATCCTGGGAAATTGACTAGGAAGTTGATATGTAACTTGAGCTTATGAGAGAGGTCAGAACTGGAGACATATATGTGGGAATTATTCACATGTGAATAACTAGTCAAAACAGTGAGAGAGGTTAAATTCTTCAAAGTAGAAAATGTAGATGGCAAATTTTATAAAGTTATTGACTGATCCTTGGGAAATGCTACTTTTGTGTAGTAGAAGGAAAAAAGGGAAACCAGAGAAGGAAACCAAAAAGGAACTGATAAAAAGAGCACGGTGATTGTTTTTTTTTTACCTAGTGCAGGGACTTCCTTGTAGTAGGTGTTTAATAAATGTTAAAATTTAATTAAAGACAGACAAATTTAAAGGAAGGATGCATCAGCAGCATCAAGTACTGCAGAAAAATCCAAGATTATTTCTTATTTCCTTGGAGTTCATGTTTCATCTCATCCCTTTGCGCAATAATTTGCTGCAATTTAGAATAACGAAGGTCTTTGATGTAAAATTGTTGTTGAAATTGTCTTGTGAATAAACAGCAATCTTATTTTCAATTTACTGATGGTTTAACAGTGTCCTAATGACAGTGTTCCTTTTTAGGTAGTTTCTGCCTCTATTCTGTGTTCCAGATTGGTTCTTGAATCCATTGTTTTTCCTTGTGATATTTTAATTTTAGTGTCATGTCTATTAATTGCTTAATTGCAAACGTTTTAAAATTTTAATATGTCTTTTGGTTTCCTTTCAGTAATCTGGATCCACTAACAGAAACTGTATCCTTTAAAAAGTGATTGGCTGATGATTCGAGCACCCTCATAGACAATTTGGAAGGTTTTCCTCACCTAACATGCTGTTTGGGAAATCATTTTGGTGTTTTGTTTTGTTTTGTTTTTCTTTGTATGTGCCACTGACTTTTGCTTGTTTGTACCACCAGAGGGGGAAATTTCTACCACTGCTTCCTCAGGAAAGCATTTTAAACATTTATAATATGTAATGCATATATACATGCACCTACACATATATACACATGCATGCACACACACATGTATACACATATATGTATTTACACATGTATGCATATATGTGTATATTAGAGGCAGCATAGTATAATGGCTAAAGTTTTGGTCTTATAGTCTGAAGACATCTGACAATAAATAGCTGAGTTACCCTTGTCAAATCAATTAAATTCTGTATGGCTTATATAATTCCTTGAGATTTATCTGAGTTCTCCACTCATTTGGGAGCATATCTCTATATGCACAGACTTATTTCACATTTTCCCAAATGCTTAGAAGAAACTTAAATGACGAATGAGTAGATATCATTATTTTTCAGCACAGGGAAGCATAGAACTGTTAAATGACTTATGTAGGGTTGTAACTAGTTAGCATTGAAATTAACCAGAACTTTTGATTCCCTGGTGAGATCTGTGTTTTAGATTTTTTTTCCAGGTTATTTCTTTGAAATCTTGTTTAATTTAGGACAATAAAATTTATAATAAAGACATTTTAAATTATTTTCGAAATTTATAGTATACCATTGACCTAGAATGGTTAACAATGTAGTAGTATATTGTGCCCGGCATAAAGTGTATAGATACAATGAAAATGCTACCTAGCTCAGTATTTTAAAGGAGGCACTTTTTTATAGCTGATTTCATGTTCCGCAACAGTTATTAGTTCCATTTCATACTTCTTAACATAACTGCAGTATGGGATACCATTTTATTTACAATATCTAGCTCACTGGCCCGAGTATTTCATAGTTGCAGAGGCTCCTGGTGGCGAGCTCATGGGCTACAGTAAGTATACACTGTATACTCTACTAATATGTTTTCATTTTTGAGAGGCAGGTAAGATATTAAGGATATAGTTATTGTTACATTGTAAAATCAGAGGTATGAACTAAAAACATTGTAGCTATGATAATGTTTTTGACAAAATCAGTAACTGTAACATAGATAAACTCCAAAAGTTTTACCAGCTTAAACATTTCTTTCAGTTTTCTTTGGGAGAAAGATCCTATCACAATTCTTAAATCATTGCTGTGATTCTGTTACTAAATGCAGCTTTTGTTGGCAGTTATGGGTAAAGCAGAGGGCTCAGTAGCCAGAGAAGAGTGGCATGGTCATGTCACAGCCCTATCAGTTGCCCCTGAATTTCGACGCCTTGGCTTAGCTGCTAAATTAATGGAGCTACTAGAGGAGATTTCAGAAAGGTGAGATTTTACTTTTCAGATACATTTAATTACATGTAAGCTTCAGCAGTCTACGTTGAATAGAAATGTAATCAAATCAAGACCTACTATTTCTCTTTTCCTCATTCCTCATACCTAAAGCAAAGAGATGTTGGGGAAGAAAGGGAAGAACCATTACTGAAGGAAAAAGCAGTTTTATGTTGGAAAAGGTACTATATACCCTAAGGAAGTAAAACATTCATTTTGGGGCAAAGTAGGTGCCCATTGATACTAAAGAATGGCTGAAGAAACTGGTATATGAATGTAATATAATTTCATTGTGCAGTAAGAAATGACAAATGTGGAATTCAGAAGAGAATGGAAAGATTTATGTGCACTCTTGCAGAGGGAAGTAAGGAGAACCAAAAGAACAATATATGTAGTAACTATTATGATATAAATAAAAAGGTCACTAAAAGAAAGGTAAACAAATAAAGTACCAGGGAACTAAAAGACACACTACCCTTCTCATGGCAGAGTTTACTAGGATAGATTGTAATGTACATTGTCAGATGAAGTCATGATATTAGATGTTTTTGCTTAATTTTTTTTCCTTTGTCACAAGGGAGGATTTAATGCAGGTGCTAGGAGGGAAGGTTTCCAGAAATGGCTATGATGTAAAGATATGCTTTTTTTAAAATTCAGTTTTATTTTTGTTGATGTCTTTTTGATTTTCTATTAGTTTCATTTCCAAATAATCCCTCCCTGCAGTGAATCATCCTTTGTAACAAACATTTTGAAAAAAGAAAAAAAGAAAGCAGTTCAGCCAAACCGACCAATATATCAGCTGTTCATGATGGTATATACAATTTCTACTCTCAGTTTCCTGCCTCTGTAAAGACGAAAGCAAAGTGCATTTTCCCTACACTTCTTGGGTAATGAAAGAAATTAAAAGTATTTTTGGAAAAGTAGTAAAAAATTCAAATCCATCATGAAATGAAAGGTGAAAGGGAAGGAAGAACCCGGGGAGGTAGGTACCAGTATTCCCATATTACAGTTGAGGAAACAGAGGCAGATAAAGGTTAAGGGATTTGCCCAGGGTCACAGGAATAAGTATCTGTGACCAGATTTGAACTCAGGTCTTCCTGACTGCAGGGCCAGTGCTCTGTCCACTGTGCAACGTAGCTGCCTCTGAAGTATGATTTAGGGACCCCATAAATGTCCAGAACCACAATGGGATGAAGAGAAAATTAGATTCATCAGAAGGGACATGATGGGGAGAAGCTGGAGAGGGCTGATGACATACCAGCAATGGAATCTAATCACATTGAGAATTAATCAGAATTCTCACTGGGTTAAGGTTTAAATAACATTTTGAATTATAAAAAGGAAACAGGAAAGAAAAAAGTTTTAGTAGTACTAATTAATTTAGATCATGTTATATTTGCCAGTGAAACTAACATAGAAAACCTTGATGAGATATGTATAAAAACAATATATTTTAGAGAATGTTATTTTGAAAGAATCATTAGACTGGCAGTTTTGAGATCTGAATTCTAACTCTGACCTTGCCACCACCCAGGGATACGACCTTCACTAAATCATTTAAACTCTGGTCCTAATTTCCCCAATCTGTCAAGTGTTGTTGGACTAGAAAGATCTCTTAAGATCCTCTCTAGACTGTAAAATGTGCACATTTTAGTTACTCTGATACTTGAAGAGATCCAGGAATTCATCAGTACCATTACATCCTCTACTAATTCAGATTGTAACCCCTTGTGAGTTGCTATAGCCGAGAAAAATTCATCCCTTAGTGGATATCTTTCTGCTGGTGAGCCTTTCTGTCATTGGTCACAGACATCAGTCTTTTGCCAAGCTCATATTTTACGCCTTTGTAGCTTAGCGGGCTGGATCTTCCAGGGTTTCTATTTAACTGGTATAGTTTTTGAGAACCCAGACCTCCATTCCAGCCACAGTAAGCCATCTAAATAGGCCTTTATTTAAAGTTAGTGAAATTCTCTTTACTTAAAAATATATTAACATCTGAAATATGTGTTTTGTGCTTCATAAGTGTACACTTTCTTGCTATGATCTTTTTATCAAAGTTTAACTGGATAAATCCCCAAGAATTAAAATGTAAAGGTAATTTTTGAAAATCAGTAAGTAGCTGGAGCCACCTTAAGGAAATAATAGTTGTTTTAACTTTTTTTAGTGAGCATTCTAAGGTTGTATTTTGATTTTTTAAGAATTAGGTTGCATGGTGTAGGTGATAGAGAAAGCTGGGTTTGAAGCCAGGAAGACTTGAGTTCAAGACGTGCTGTGTGATCTTGGGCAATTCACTTAACTTCTCAGTGCTCTAGGCAGTTGCCTACTACATTCTTAATACACTAATTTGCAGAAAAGGTGCCAATCTGCATTGGTGGAAGTTTCCTGTCCCCAGAAATTTCCTGAACCAATGAAGTCACAGGTCCAATCCCAGTCCCTAAAATGTTAATGTTATGTAAGATAGTGCCGTCTCTTTTCTGTAAAATGCCTTAGTGGAATGCCCCAAGTCTTATGAAAATGTAATATTAATTTATATGATGTAATAGATTATCTATTCATTGATATGCCTAATTTTCAAAATGGGGATAGTTTTTGCAGTGGGATTATTGGGAGAATCAAATGAAATTCGTGAACAAAAGTGTTTTGTAACTTTTAAGGGCTACGCAAAGGTAAATTGTTAGTAGGTATCCCATAAATTGATATTAATAATATTCAGCACTTTTCTTTGTGCTGGTGTTCAAACTAAGGTAAAAACAAAAATGAGTCTTTTATTCTTTTACTGTGTCCATGAAAACTTTGTATCACATAATTTTTTTTTCTTTTTGTAAAGAAAGGGTGGATTTTTTGTTGATCTCTTTGTAAGAGTGTCAAATCAAGTTGCAGTCAACATGTATAAGCAGCTGGGCTACAGTGTGTATAGAACAGTAATAGAATATTATTCTGCAAGCAATGGAGAGCCTGATGAAGATGCTTATGGTAAGCACATGATTTTGGAGAGAAATAGAAATGAATTACCATATTCACCTAAAGTAGTTCAGTAGCAGTAATCCTGTTCTCTGTATGTTCAAATAGTTATCAGAATACTTCTTTGAGAATCCCTTTGTGGGATGTTATTCAACTTAATTTTAAACTTCAGCTACAGTAATTGTTATTTTTATATACTTTGTTCTTGGTATTGGCACCAATATTTCTCTTTTTTACTGAATATTAAATATCTTTTATATAGTTGTTCTTTTACTGTAAGCCTGTTGTAAGATATTGTATATTATGGGTCCAGTCCTACAGTTGGGAGTTTGAGTATTTAGGCTCTCTTCTGGCAAGTAATAAGGTGTTAACAATTTAGTTGAGATAAATCACCACTTCTATCATGATTATGATTTTAACCATTATAATGCATACCAGAAATCTTTAGTGATCTTAAAGTTTTTTTTAAGTGTGTTTATACTTACTTTTGCTTATCAACAGATATGAGGAAAGCACTCTCCAGGGATACAGAAAAGAAATCCATTATACCCTTACCTCATCCTGTGAGACCTGAAGACATTGAATAACTCTAGGCAGTGGTTCTTAGGCAGAGAATGCTCCTGATCATCTTTTATGGACAATAATATTTTTCATTGGAAATTGACTCTAAAAATCAGTTTCAGAGATGTGTATACAGGCACATCTTGAAGATCCTTTAGGAGAAAAATAATCACTTCATGTCTTGAAGACTTGAGTAAGAAAATACTTTCTATATGGACTTCTTAATTTAAACCCCTAAGTCCCAGTCTAGCACTAGCACATTAAAGAAAGTTCTTCACTATATTTCATATGCAATTAAAAAGGCAGCTAGGCCAAAAGGAAGCAAGACATTCCATTATCATGGTTCACAGTATTAGGTAAGTACTAGGGAAATATTGGCTTCATTTCTCTTATAAATTCTGTGCCTGAGAATCACTGCTGCCTCTATTTTTTTGATCTTCATATTGAATAGTTAAATGAAGCTTTAAAAGCAGTTGTGAAAAACTCAAATGTATAAAGATAAAATGTATAATAAAACACAAATTCACTATGTGAATGTTGTTTTCTATAAATATGTTTACTTCTGATTGTAGCCTTACCAAATAAACTTTGGCTAATTTGAAAACAAATCTTAAAATTTGAAAATAGCAGTTATAGGTTAATCACATGTAGCCCATTTGGGGCATGTGCATCTTATTATGTCTGTCTGATATGACTTAGGTAAAGTGTGTGACTGCACATCCAGAATAGGATTTCCTGGCCTTTCTTCTTGCTGTAACAGTATGTCAGTTTTTCTTCTCCAGATCTTGTTTCTGTAACTGCATCCATCGTTCTTGGCTGTTGCCTTACCTTATCCATGCTGTGTGCAGTGCGAAAAGTGCCCAAGTCTTAGGCTTAAAGAAAGTCAGCAGCATCTTATTTTTACCCTAACTTCCCTACTGGTTTAAAGATGTCTTAAAATGAGCCAGTCAGTGTGTGAAAGAAACAGTTTTGAGGATTTGTATGGGGTGAAGGAGGTGGGTAAAGTAGCTCTCTTGAAATAATCCTAAGGCAGTTGAGGCTTCTCCCTTGGGGAGGTAGTGTGGTACATTGGAGAGAGCTGGATTTGAAAGAGAGGACCCAAGTTCAAATCCCAGGCCTGCCTATAAAAAGTTGTGTGATAGTCAGCAAGTTATTTCACCTTTCAGTCTTAGTTTCCTTATCTGTAATGGACTATATAACCTCTACGGTCCCTACCAGCTCTGATATTCTGTGATCCCATGATCCTTCATACGTTTCACTGGGTTTTAAGACAGTAGTATATGGTTTATTTAATCTTGAGTCATCTTGGGACATATATCTATATATATCTATATATGTATTGTTAACACATGGCTCATGAACATCGAAGGTAATTGTTCGTTTTACAAAAATTATTTATATACAACTTTTGAAGGAACTGTTCCCTACTGAAAGTCAAAGTCCCTATTAGAAAACTTTACTGTGAAAAGTGTTGCTTAGCTGTACAGCCAAAATGATTAAAAACAGAATGGCAAGAAGAAATCCTTATAGCCAATTACTTTGCTGAATGTTTTGTATTTCTAAAATCCAGCACTTGAAATTTAGTTCACTCATACCAAAACTGAAATGTTTTTGAAGGGGCCTGAATTTGCTGTTTTACCTCCATATGCATAGACATATCTGTTTTGAATTTCATTAATGATAATATTTACATAGTAGTTTACATTGAACAAAGTGCTTTACAGTCATATAATAGAACAATTCTGTTTTGATTGTTCAGTTTTTCAGTCATCTGATACATTTGGAATTTTCTTGGCAAAAATAATGGAGTAGTTTGTCATTTCCTTCTCTAGTTCACCTTACAGATGAGGAAACTGAGGCAAACAGGGTTAAGTGACTTGCCCAGAATCACACAGCTCATTAAGTGTCCAAGAATAGTAGAGCTCTGGTAAAATAAGAGGAATTATCCAGTTAGATTTCATTTTTTCCCCTGGCTTCTTTCAAGATTCCATTCATACCTCCTCTTCTGCTAGTGGCCTCTCATTCAGAGGTTATCTTCTGCTCTGTTTCATGTTTTTACATTTTATCTCATTAAGTCAGAAAGCTCCTTAGGGCCAGCATTAATTTGGTCATTTCTACCTTCCTTTGTTTTTATACCCAGGGCTTAACAAATACTCTTTGACTGATAAAAATACAAACTTATGGCACCAAATGATAGATTTCATCCTCTTATTTGTTGATGTTTTGGTCTTGAAGACCATATCACTTCCAAGAACTCTGGCATGAGTATTCTCACTCTTTTTGTTTGGTGAGGCAATTTGGGGTTAAGGGACTAGCTAAAGTCAAGTGTCTGAAGCCGGATTTGAACTCAGGTCCTCCTGACTCCAGAGCTGGTGCTCTACCCACTTTGCCACCTAGCTGCCCACTGCTGTTTAAGGTTTGTATTCTTGCCTGGACAGCCCTATGGTATATTAAAATTAGAATTAAACCCTTTTCCTAGGGTATAGTACAGGCTGAAGGAAATAGCTGACATCTCAATAACAGTTTAAATGTATATACCCACACCCACATATATACATACACATTTATATATAAAATATATCTTTTGGGAATTTGAACTTGCCAGTATGTTAATTCAAGCATTTTTTAATATGTATTACCATAAGAAATAGATAATAATATAGTGCTTTAATAAAGATTTGCAAAGCCTTTTTCATGTATTTTTTCATAATACCTATGAGATAGGTGGTGTTATCTCCATTTTCCTGATGAGGGAACTGACAGGTTAAATAACTTTACCAGAGTGCCATAACTATTATGTATCTGAGAGATATGAACTCAGGTTTTCTGATTGTAAATCCACCCCTTTGGCTTTCTCTAAAGGTTCACAGACACTGTATAAATTTAGTATGGTATTTATAGGAGCTAGGAGAAAATATTTTCATCTTCTGTTTATTTAAATTCAGCACTGACCACTATAGTTTTTTTCTTCACTTAATGTATTTAGGCTTTCTTCAGAGTTCTCTGTATTTTCCATAAGGAATTTTCTAAGTTAATTCTTCATATAGCTCTATAAGTATGCAAAACATTTTATATATATTTCTCACTTGATCCTCAACCCTGAGGTAGGTGCTATTATCATTCTCATTTTACATAGATGAGGAAACTGAGGCATTGAAGGTCATGTGATTTTCCCAATATTATCTAACTTGTAGGTATTCTCACTGAGGCCTTCCTAACTCTAACTCCAATACTCTAGCCACTATGTCACACTGCCTCTAAAAACAGTTCGGTTGAAGCTGGACAGTTTTTGCAAATTTTAAAAGCACTCAATGTTTACACTCATCTGAGTACACCCAACAATTTCTCATAAGGAATCCTACATGTATAAAAACCATGACATAGCCCAGATTTTACATACTAAAAATGACACACTAGTTCTTTAACAGGAAAACAGTATAGAAAAATGAAAGCCTAATGCGCCTAATGCTTGCTACTTGACAAGATGACATTTGAAAATTTTCTTGTGAATATAAAGTTATATAATCAGTTCAATCTCAGACATTTAAAAAATTCTGTATTTTGAAAAGACACAAAATATTTTCTACAAAACATAAAGCTGTGTTATAAAGAAGAAATTTTATGTCCTTTATTTACAATCTTCTCAATGCTAACTCATCAATATTTTAAAGGCATAGCATAGCAAAGGTACAAGGTTCACCACTGATAAAAAATACTACACAAAAGTTTCCTAAGTCACAATAATTGTAAAGTAGGCATTTGTAAAAACAACAAAAATGCAAGAACATGGAAAAAGTCAAGATTCCCTCTCATCCATATCTTTGTCTGGGTCTTGTTCTGCAGCATCCTTTTCTTGCTGCTGTTTCTTCCAAAGTTTGGCCATTGCCAGCAGTTTGAGGTTGGGCTGGTTTGCAGCATCTTCTGGAAAGATATAATCGTAGTACTCTTCCCAGCCAGCATCAGACTGAAGAGAAAAAATAAAGAAAATGGAATAGATAGGCGTTAAACATCTAACTTTCAGCCACTTTAACTAATTGGGACATTTTCACAATGTATAGTCCCAGTCTAATTATTTGGCAAAGAAACAATGACTTTGTTAGAGTTAGTTGCCTAAAATTTTGGAGAGACAACGTGGTTTATGAGTGACACAAAAACAGTGAAAAAAAATTCTTAATCTATAAGAATCTACCTAGATTTAGTAAGATGCCAAAATCATAATCGCTGTATAAGTCCAATATTCAATTCAATAAGAATTTATTAAGTGCCTTCTGTGTGCAAATCAAATTTTAAATTGTTGCCTGGACTTAAACCTGTAAATCTGATATGTCCATATCAATTTCTTTACACCAAACTGGTAGCAGTCCTAGATTTCTAACTCTTACCCCATCTTCTGCCTGTACTTTTCTTCTCTTCTTAACTTTCTCTGGCATGAGTTTGTCCACTCTCTCCTTATGAGATTCTGTTCCAAATTCATCTTCAAAGTTCCGCCAGGATTCTAATAACATGAGTCTTTCTTCCTTCTCTTCACAGTTTCTCATAGTTTTGTTGGCTTCTTCGTAAATTTGTCTGCATTTACTTAAACTTTCTTCATTTCCTGCAGACAGCTCAAATTGGGCAAAACTGATCCATACCTAGAAAGAAGTCATTATGGAATCAAATTAAGTAGACAACTATAATCATTTAAGATAAGTGTTAATAGTGGCACTTCCTCCTGTTCAGTTTCTGGTTAGTTCTACTTGTGGAACAAACCAACATTTTCACATTTAGTGGTGGAAATGATAAAGTGACAAGAGCCCTATAGCAGTGACCCAAAAGGGTCAGTTAATGTTACAAGAATGTCATTAGTGTTTTTAAGTCTTTAAAAAGTTGTTTGTCTTTACAATGCCATTGCTACCCATCTCTTGACAGAGAGGGGATGAGACTCAAGATGCATGAGACATGTATTTCTGGACATGGCCAATGTGGAAATTGGTTTGCTTATTTGTTATTGGTTATGCCTATTTGTTACAAGGGTTTTGTTTTCTTGGTTTTTTTTTTCTTTCTTTGTTTCCTTTTTCCAATGAGAGGGAAGTGAGAGAAAGGAAAGCCTGTTAACTGAAATTTTTTTTTTTTAAAATTTATATAAATGCCAAGATGTCAAATAATGTTAGTTAACTGCTAAGAAGATGGAGGAGTAAGATGTTAGACAAGAGAAACTAACTTCTCATATCCTTCCCTAAAACAGCAAGATAGTTTTCAGAAAATTGAAAAAAAAAAAAAGGAAAAACCAACAACTCAGAAATGGGCTTGAGTACCAACCCAATGAAAAAAAAATTATAGATGAAGAGAAGCAGAGGAAGAAACAAACTCAAAGAACTGATTCAGTATTACTCTGGACACATTTTTTTTTCTATTCTCTAACTTTAACAAGTTTGCAATGACTTTCTAAGTTTCTTTCAGCTCAATGTTATTTTATTTTTCACAGGTCTCAACAATCTACTTGATAAAGTTAACATTTAAAAGGCATCTAGACTATTCCCACTCTCCTTAAAAGCA